AAAGGAACACCACAGTTTTAATGGGCCTTGTAAAACAAAACTTCAAAAAAAGAGTGTCATCAACAAAGGTTTGGAGGCTCGATGAGCAGCAGATTTGTTCTTGAACTTTACATGTGTTAAAAATCAAGAAAATGTCTTGTGCAAATCTTTGATGAGGAGTTGAGAGAAAAGGAAAGAAGACAAAATAACAAAAAAAGACAAAGGAGAAAAAGAGGTGATAGGATACGAGGGGAGGAAGAGAAGACGGTTTATGATATTTAAAGGATAAACGAGTGACTATAGGACAACACAAAACACAGTGACGAGAGGAAGACAAAATGATGACGAAAAGATGGTGTTCACGTTGGCCAGCAGAGGGAGACAGCGGAAGAGAGAAATATTCAATACATTTCTTAGGAGGAACAGAGGTGAGAAGGAGGTAAGCTGGGAAAATGAAAAAATAAAAAACATAAATATAATTAATATATTTAGATTTCAATTTAAAATAAATTGATGAGAGAGTTAGAGAAAGATGAGTCAATAAAATGATCAGCAGAGATGCGAATGACACCAGAATGTATATATTTTGAAAGGGAAATAAAATAAAAATGGGTTCTTGATTAATTAGTGAGACAAACTAGAATTAGTCTGGCCAATCTTAAACAACCTCTCATTTGCAATATGTCCCCACAAAGATGACGTGTCACCACAACACAGCAGTATTTGACCTTGAAAAATGTCCCCACAACTATAGCTGCACCAGGATCACACACACACTGCTCTGCTCTGCAGATGCTCAGTTTTGATTCCTGGCAGTACACAGAAAATATCCAAGAATTATTAACTAGTATCAAATGCAAAAAGGACAGCCTGATTCAAATTTAGAGGGAGTCAGAACCGCTACAGTGGACCACTTCAGTGAGCTGTCGCTGGCAGGCAGCTGTTAAACAATAATCTGTTCTTCATTTTCTGACATATTTGGGACAGTTTTATTTATTTTGGACCACACTGACATAAATCAACACACCCTAAGTTTTAAAATCCATTTAAAAGCAAAAGCTGTTCAACATGTTTTTTTTGTTTGTTTGTTTGTTTGTTTTAATTAATGTGAGATGGATTAGGGCAGTACCTGTTAACACATGATGTTGATATATATTCTGTAATATTACTAAACATCTTGTGCAAGGGTATTTTTAAATATCCATTCTGAACCTTAACCAGAAAAGTCCAGTTGTTTTTTTTTCAAATAAAACTTTAGCATACTCCCTTCAAGTAAAGTTTATGACCATCACAGAAAGATTATGACACCACATATAGGCTAACATTGAGTTAGCAGATTTTGGCAGCCATATGTGGGTACAAATTGTCTTTCATTGTCTTATAGCCAACAGCTTGGAACACACAAAACCTACAAAACACCTCCGGATGTGAACTTAAATGTGTCATCACATACGAATTTTGGCTGGGCGTATGTTCAAGAACTTATGACATTATCAGAAACATTCTGATTTTTGGTCATGACAGCGTTCACAAAAGCACAGATATACTCAACAACACTGACATCTACAGGAAGAGAGCTGCAAGTACATGTGCGGCACATTTTCTGGAGAAAACTAAATTTTTCTGCTTATTTTTCCCTGTTCGTTAGTTATCATTAAACAGTAATACGCATCGACCCAATAGGATGGTCGATGCTCTTGCCTTACATCAAAAAGATCATCGATCGAGCCTTTGACGGTCTTCCTGTGTGGAGTTTGGCACAAAGATAGATAGATAGATAGGTCAGATTCATTATAACATTTGTTTAAATTATTTGTCACTTAATTTTGGTTGTAGAACTTTAAAATATAATATTTTAATTTAAACCCTGAGGATGAAGAATCAATGGAAACTTTATTATTACCTCAGATTATGCTGTTCTTATTTTCCGAGAAGTCGTTATTTTCCTATGGGGGCTGCCATGTTGGACAGCCATGTTTTTGTACAGTAGCCTGCAGTGGACAAAATAAATTCTTTTTTATATCTTGTTTAAGACTGATCGTCACAGCATGTTTTTTTTTCACACAGTTGAATAGAAATGACAAGATGAAGACTTTAAAATTTAAACAAAGTTCACCAAATGATGTTGCTAAATCTTACAGAAGAAGACTACAACTCCCAGCATGCAGTCGTATCAACAACGAACCAGAGGGGTGCAGTTGGGGTTGACAGCATAGCTTTAAGGCACTTTAGGTTTGGATTTGACCTCCGGTCAGAATTGGTTCTAAGGCCTTTTCAAAATAAAATTATCATACAAGTCTCCTTAAAGCAAGCTGTGCATCCACGTCGATAATATTTTGCTTAAATACATAATTTAAAAAAAAACAACATAATTTTGAATGTACACAAAATACAACTTACTTTATTTGAACTTTTATGAAAGAAAAATAGGAAAATCAACATTTTGGTCTAAACTTCAACACAACTATTCTTAGGTCCATTGTGTCTTTAAGTAAATAACTGTAAGTAATAGGTAACACATGCATCTGTTTATATAAATAATCTCATTATCTTATTTTGATGGCGGGAGATCGGTTCTCTTTGGTTTGTTAATGTACGCTTGTTTCTTTGTTTCTCTCGCGAGATCTGGCAACATTGACTGAGAGGAGAGGCTCTGTGAGCGTTGGGAGAAAGAGGGGAGCAACGGGAGAGTTTTTATTCCACATCAGTGGGTTGTTGAAGGTTATCTTCACCGTTTAGGAACAGAACTGCTGCATAAAATCTACCTTCGAAATGTCCAAGAACCAGGAGGTGGAGCGCATTGCTAAAAAACTGGATAAAATGGTGCATAAAAAGAACACGGTGAGTGGCGCCAAGAGTTGCGGCATCTGCAGTAAAACGACGTCAGGTGCTTTTTACCTTTAACTGCTGTGGGGCGGAAAATTCTGGAAACAGCAGTGAGGATGTTTTTCACTCGGTTCTGTGCTGGAGTTGTTTTCCTCCACTGCTACTGGTGATGATGCTGCGTTTTGTGGTTTCAATTAACTTATTTGTTTTAATCAGGAAGTAGTTTAGAGTTAAATCACGTTAGCGAATGAGTTTGCAGCTGCCAGATTTCGCAGCTGAAGCTGATCGTCTCCACGCCAGATTTTTAAACCGCAGCTCGTAAATGTCGTTTATATGTTTAGGGTCCTATCGTAAGATACCCAGACACAAAATATTTTAACAAAAACATTGCATTGTATTATATTAAAATGGTGGACAGTATTTACACTCAATGTGTTCACCTGTAAAATACAAAAGGGAAATTCTAATTAATTTACACACAGTCAAAACATTTGTAGTTGAACGACGTATTCACTGAAACTCAACTTTTTTACCATGTAAAAATTGAACACATTTTGACGTCACTGACGTCACTGTACGTGCTTCATGGGCATGGACAGGCTGTTATTGGGAGATCCACGGTAGCGAGATGCATATGTGTCCATTGGCTTCACATTCCCATTTAATTAGCTACAAAATTAAAACCGTAATTCACAAGAGTCATTGAGAATATGTTGACAGAATTAATAAAATACTGGTCAACAGTGGTACTGCAGCCAGAAAAGTATTAACAGGTAGTTTCTAACTGTGCTTTTTGAATCAGTTACACTTGCAGTGATATTCAAATGGGTGCAATGACGTTGGTAAGAAGAGTGTCTGCTATTGTATGTCCCAGAACTAACTTATTACATTGTTTTGGAAGTCTGTATCAAACAAGTAGCTCTTCATATCACTAAGTGCCTCTGAACAAGCTCTTAGTTTCAGAACGGTTGGTGACCCCTCCTCCAACATGAGACAACCTGTCTTTGCGATACGAAATGTGATACAAAATGTTGATTTCATAAAGCAGGGAAAAACCCACAACACGGGCCCAACCTTCAACAGGAAGAGAAGTTAGGCGATGAGCGACGTGTGATGTTTTTACAGGATGGCGCTCTGGACCTGCTGAGGGAACTGAAGAACATAAAGATGTCTCTGGAAACACTGCAGGTAAATTGACCGTGCTGTGTCACTGCTACACCGAGTCAAGTGGACCCTAAAGATTCAACACAATTAGAGACTGATAACAACCTGCACTTGACTGTCTCACATCATTTGCTCTGCCGTGGTAACTTTGTTTTCCTCCTCCCAAAAACCTCAGTCCACCAGAGTCGGGATGTCGGTGAATGCCGTGAGGAAACAGAGTTCAGAGGAAGAGGTTCAGACTCTGGCCAAAGCTCTCATTAAGTCTTGGAAGAAACTGCTAGGTAGGTTAAGTCTGTGTGTGTTACTACAATAAATAATGCCTTTGGTTAAGTTTACAAGTATTTAAGTCTCAGCAACATCACCCGTTAGATACTGATGATGTGGTTAGTGTGATTTGTGTGTCATTGTCCTCGCACAGATGAAGGGAAGTCTGAGGAGAAGAAGAAAGAGGGTTCTCCGGTGTCCACGTCTTCCACCTCCAAGGACACCAAGAGCAGCGAGACAAGGTTCGTCCTCAAACAACAACTGATGGAGTTTTGTCTTCAAACAAACCAGATCCTTGTCATAAACCTTTACCTTCTCAGCAGTAAAAAGTCCGTGGACACACCCACCCTTTCGTCTCGCTTCACCACCTTCCCAACGGCCGCCGTCACCACTGACAATGTCCGGAACAAGTGTCGAGAGCTGCTGGTGGCTGCGCTGCAGACAGACAGTGAGGACGTGTTTGTTTAAATCCACTGAGCATTACTTCAGCCCAGACACTGAGCCAACACTTTGGTGGTTTTATTGAAACATCGAGGTGGTGTTTGGGAGAAGTTATTTTAAAGCCAGTGTATGTTTCAGATGACCACAAGAGCATCGACGTGGACTGTGAACACCTCGCAGCACAAATCGAAGAACATATCCTTTTACATCATGAACCTGTTTCACTCCTCATTGGTTGGACAGTTCTCACAGGACAAAACCTTTTTTTCTGAAACACAAAGAGTGAGTTAATTTTCCAATGAAACTCACAAATTTAAACATCAAAAAAGTAATACAAATATGTCACCTTTGTTCATTTGCCAAAGTCAAATTTCAGCATTTTAACAAAAGCGTCCAGAGGGGGGCAGTGTACTGCGAGATTAGAACATAATCTACTGTAAAATTGTTCTCAGTTTTTCTGTGTGTCTGTAAAGAAGGGCAAGAATTGTAGACTAAAGGAGACATAAGATGCCATGGATCTTTTTTTTTAAATGTGACTCAACATATTAATCCTTAAGACTGTTGTAGGCCGGTTAGTAATAACTGTCTTCTAATGACGATATCTGTGGCCTACTAGTTGATCAAATCTGGCATGTGATCAGAGGATTGCCCAGTAAATTGTAGTCCACAGCTCTACACTTCTGGTCTGTATTTTGTCTTGTGTCGTACATGTCTAGATGTGTGTCTTTAACTGCTCGCCGTGGTCACTGATCTATCAAGAATTTAAGTCAACAGACATGAAATACAAAACCCGACTACGAAGTCGAATCTCAAATCTGAAGGACCAAAAAAACCCTGAGCTGCGCCGCAACGTCCTCTCTGGAAACATATCACCTAAACGCATCGCCTCCATGAGCGCCGAGGTCAGTCACAGGTTTGATCTATGTCGCAGTCCTGTGCTGTTCTAAACGCTACTGCTGACTGACTCGAACATGCCAAATATCTGTGTGTGTCTGTAGGAAATGGCGAGTGCAGAACTGAAGCAGATCAGAGAAATACTGACCAAGGAGTCCATCAGAGAGCATCAGCTGTCCAGGGTGGGAGGGACGGAGACGGACATGTTCACCTGCAGCAAGTGTCGTGGGAAGAGCTGCACGTACACTCAGGTAGAGACGTGCACCAGCACACCAAGTGGCTGTGCTGATGAACTTGACCATACGTTTCACATATATATATGTATATGTCTTATAGGTGCAGATTCGAAGCGCTGACGAGCCGATGACGACCTATGTGTTTTGTAACAGCTGTGGAAACAGATGGAAGGTAAACATTTAAGTCACTGTTATTTATTATGGTTCCAAAAAAAATGTCAGTGGAAATTACAGATAATCCCTGTAAATCGTACACAGTTATCATAGTGTTGGTTCATAACATATATACTAATAAGTTTGAAACTAAGATGACATTCAAATATGTGCACATATTTCCTCCACCTTTGTTTTAAAAATATTTCAGAGGACAGTAGAACAGAAAACTTTGGATATTCATCCATTGTCATACAATGGTCATAAAACAAAGAAAATGCTGCATTTACTATTTACTGCAAATCAAGGTCAATTGCGAAGGTGTACCACAAGATGGCAGCAGAGACCGGTTTAGTTTAATTCCTATTTGCATCCTTAAAATTGACTTTTGTAACCCTTCACAATCACGTGTATTCAAACTTCACCACTTATAACATTTAACTTGGTCATTTCTTGTTATTCCTCCGTTTCACATCTTTTTTTTTTTGCTCACTCCTTTCCTCAGAGTGAGGAAGTGTTTGCTCTTGTTTACCTGTTTCACCTCCTTCTCTGTCCTCTCACCCTCACCTCTGTCCCTTTGACTCCATATTTACCTTCTTTCTTGTTCTTGTCTCGTTGACCTCCCGTCCCTCCCTTATTTAGTGTCTACTTCTAGGTCAAGGCGAAACACCCAAATTGTAAAGCTTATGGTTTGAGTCCTGTGCTGTTGTAGTCACACATCAGTGTTCCTGAACAACAACAACTGTCATTATCTTCTGCATTGACTTTTTTCTTTTTTTTAATCCCTGTATCTGCTGACTGTGTAATCAAAGTCTTTCTTTCTTTCTTTTCCAGTTCTGTTGAAGAGGATGTAAATGTAACCCTGCAGTGATGCAAACGGACTAAAGTGGAATGACTTATGTATTTAAGAATATTTTTTTATGATTTCTGTATGTTTTTGTTTTATATTTAAAAAAGTTAAGAGCAATTATGTAATATATTTGCCAGTTATTGGTTTAATTTGTTTTCTATGCAACACTTGTATATTTTTTTTTTCTAAAGCGAGATGAAGCTTAAGGACAAATGTGAATCACACTTGTTTATTAAGAGTTGGTGTGTTCTTTCTTTGCTGTTTGCTGCCAGATATTTTGCCCTTAACATATCTATTAAATTTGCTCTTGAATGAAAATCAGCATTCACTGCATTTTATTTACTATCCCAACAAGATGGTTGAAATTCCAGACATACATATAATCCATAAGTCATTTTATATTTTTTAACTAATGCACATTTATGAGCAAAAAAAGTTTTATTTTAATTCCATGTTATTAAAAAAAATTGTTTAAAACTGGAAATCTTTTCCCTCCAAATACTTCAATATTTCTACACAAATCTTTCTCAATACTGATATTTAAACGATTCACCACAGTTCCACAGTCAAGTTAATTTATTAAGAATAAATACTTTCAGTTGAGTAAATGTGTTCTTTGTTCTTCAAAACATTTTAAAACTTTTCCACAACCTCAGTGGTATCGGTAACCTGTTGACAGGTGGAAGAAGTGGTGAGAAGGCAGCGTAAAGGAAGCTTCACTTCTGTTTGTTGTGGAAACACGACTGGTCTATTTTAGTGGACATTAGGGGGGGACGGGGGAGAAAACCTAATGTAAGAGGAAAGACTGGAAGGAGTGGGAAAAATCCTGGATGAGGATTGTGATGAGTGGACCAAAAAAAACAGCCAAAATGGAGGGAAAACAGAATGGGTAGAGAAAAAAGGCACTCGTTTAACAAGGAACAACAGCCAAATAAAAACACTTTTTTCTTAAATGTTGAAAATAACGACATTTGTGGTTTTTATTGACGTTAACCTCTTGAGCTGACATTGTCTCACCACCAGAGGGGGAAGTAGCAATAGGAAAACTTTGGTTTTTTTTTAAGCAATTACATTTTACGTCGGTAGCAATAGGAAAACTTTGGGTTCTTTTTTTTAAGCAATTACATTTTACGTCTCAACCCGATTTGTCACGTGGTCCGTTTATACGGTTCTTAAAACGCAGTTCTAAGTGACTAATTTTAATATAAAAGTTAAAATCTGACAACAGAACCGTTGTCTTCGGCCTTGAATTAGTAGCAGGAGCCGCGTTTATCGCATCTGAACCCCGACTACTCGTGGAGTCGGTTTCCTCCCCCACTGTGTTCAGTGGATAAGAAGAAAGACAAGGAAAACTTCTCCACATTCGCGGGTTCGACTTCTCCAAGGTGGAGATAAAAAAATAAACCACAAACAAGTAACGGTCGAAAACAAAGAAACAAACCGACAAGGCGACGAGCAAAAAGGACAAATAAACATCGTAACGTTCGATAATCGTTAACAACCAAACACACGCCCGCTGCTGTCAGTGGAGAAAAAACACGAACGACCACGAGTGAAGGTCTTATATCACGGTCAGCTGATTAGACAGATGCTGTTCACCTGTGTCACCTGGAGAGAGAGAGACAGAGAGAGAGAGAGAGAGAGAGAGAGAGTAGAGATCCAGTCCAGAGGCGGCTCTAGCCTTTTATTGGGTGGGGACCCCCACTTTCCACCTGAAGATTCGATCACCTTGATAACAGATCCCACGTTAGACTGATTCAACAGAGGTCAACAAATCTGGACAACCACTGTGGTGACCCTGGTAAACGGAGGAGCTAAAAGCGATTCTTTCTTTGTTTTAAGTATTTTTTAAGGGGATACAGCATGCCCTCTATCTCCAGCAGGTGGCGCCCTTGGCCACTTGCCTACATGCCTTGGCCAGAGCAGCAAAGCACTTCTGAAAATGAAGTCCAGGTGGAAACTTCTGAACTTGTTAGAGTCTAAAATATAAGAAGAAGAAAAAATTCCAGGGTCTTTCCTGTCCACCTCAGACCGACCTGGACACACAAATATGTGTATGGATGTGTGTGTGTGTGTGTGTCATGGAGAATGAAACCTAAACACAAACAGATCATGTTACAGTGGACTGTGGAAAAGACCAAACGTGTGTGTATGTGTGTGTGTGTGTGTGTGTGTGGTGTTTCCTTGAGGAACTGAATGTTGTGAGTTTCAACACTGACGGTAAAAGGCTGCAGTTTTGTTTGTTGCTGCTCAGTTCATGTTCACATACGTAGTACTTCCTCGTTACGAGGTGAAAGTTTGGGTCACGATGCAGGACGTCCATTTTTTCATTTTTTTTTTTTTTTTGGTGGAGGACATTTTGTCTTTTTAGTCTCAGTGACAGTCGCAGAAGAAGGGATACTACACTCATCTTTGTAGCCAATCCCAGCGTTCATCAGTAGAGGGCGGGGTCACACCCCAGAGTCTCCAGCTGTCCACTGTTGGGCCACATCCAGAAACAAACAATTATTAAATAGAATTGTCAAACAGTTTAATAACATTTTGAATCTGACTAATCACAGGGGAGCGATGAATCAACCCTGTCTAAATATGACCAAAAAAACCCCCCTGTCTGTGTCAGGACTGGACTGAAATCACCAGGCAAAACTTACACACTTCTTATTCCAAGACCTGGCATCGAACCAGCAAACATGGGATGTGGCTTTAAGGCAGAACTAACTGCCCCGACACAGGGCATGTGTCTCAAGGTGCAGCCACCAAATACAGAGATAGTTTATGATAAATTGGTCTTAAAGAGACAAAGCTCCGCCCACTTTGGCCCTAATGCATGAATCATGAAGAGGACGAAGAATGAAAAGAAGGCGAGAGAGCGGGAAAGTCAACGAGTGAAGAGTGGGTTTAGATAAAAGTTTCAATCGTCTTTGTGTGGAAGGACGACAGCGCGGCGTGGACACCCAAACACGGCGGTCGCCGTCGTTGACCTACATCACACCTTTGTCACAGTCGTGGGTGTGTCCACTTGAAAAGGTGTGTGCTGCGTCCCGGGAGTCGCCTTGACACTTTTTATGTCTTTGTATTTACACAGTCTGTGGGAGGAGCAGTAGCAGGTCAATGAAGCTGCCAGCCAACACACACACACACACACACACACACACACACACACACACACACACACACACACGGGAGAGACAAAAGATACACACATCTCTCTCTCTCTCC